CATAATAAAGGAAGAGAAAAACAAAACATGGACTTGAAGCATCCATTGATTCATCACACACAGAGACTTCCGATTATTCGACTTCCACCTGATACAACTGAATGGAGAGAAAAGGATAAAAGGGGGGTGGACTCCTGCCGGAGTTCACCATTGCCGTTTTGTGACTTGCCGATTCTTGCGTACCTCAGGCGACCACCTGGGAGGTCAGGAGAGGCACCGCAAAGCTGAAGCGCTCAGCTTTGCGGTTCATCCCGACCCTGCTTCCGCTCTCAAGAGCCATGTAGATGCTCGAGCCATGCGCCTTCCATAGTCGGTAGGGGCTGTGGACAAGAGGAGAGGGAAGGGTTGCCTTATATGCTCGTGAGGATGCTGATGTCTGCAGGTGCTTTGCCAGGTAAATCATAGTGCAAGGACCTAGAATCTGCAAGGTGGCATTTTAAATTGGCCAGCGTACAATGCATTATTGGAGAAAGGACAATGAGAGTAAACTAAACTTTACTGTGTCGAGTGCTCAATTGCTGGGATTCACAATGAGGTCGTTGTTGCCTCGCTACATGTCAATTTCATCTACATTCTCTCTCTAGAGAAACTCCCATTCCACTCCCAGGCCCACTGTTATCAAAAGCAGTTATTTACTCACGAGAACAATGTTAAAACCTACATTGTAAAAAGGAGGGCATTTACAAAAGGCACTTCAGAAGCTATGATCAACATCCAATTCCAGGGCATCTATACTCGTAAACTTCATATCTCTTTTCACTAGATGCAGATCCTACCTCATTATCTCTTTGATTTGTCATTCGATTTTCACTAGCTGTCCCATAATTCCATTGACATTAGACCTTTCAGTTTTATCCAATAGCGCGTATAATAGGTCCTTCCTCGCCGAGCAGTGCTTTCAGCAAGAGATATTTACCAACAAATATAAAACTCAGGAACTGATCATGTGGGCTGAATCTACCATAAAATATAAAGGTAGCCTAAGCCTTTACAAAAAGCTGAAGAAGCACACTCCACCTCTAAAGCTATGCCTTTAAGAATATGGAGCTAGAGCAATGTGGCCTTCCTATTCAGCCACTACTTCATGCTTATCCGAAGTGTTGCATTTCCCAACCCTGGAGTGTAGATTAGAAAGTCCTCTATCTAATTAAATCATCTCCCATCTCGATGCTATTAAAGTTGACATGATCACCAGATCTCAGTTCCAACTTCCAAGTAAGATTACTAGATTAGCACTCTCGAGTCCTAGCTGGACCATCCCTGGATATACATTAAAATCTTCCAAAAAATCAACTAGTACGTATAATCAGTGGACAGGTGCTCCCAGTACGACAGCAAGGAAATCACTACCACCAATCGTGGGGCTCCACTGCTCCACCAAAGTGGGATTTAATCGTTGGCCGCAATCAAGTGGAGCAATCCAACGAACTTTCTGAATGTTAGCTCTTTTAATAGATGGCTGAGGGATGCACATAGTGAGTGCCCTCACAGAAATGCACCAATCAGTGACGTCAGAGACAAGAACCAAGGTTTGTGGTTCCCACCATAGTGATTGATTGGTTACCACTGGCGATGGCCATGGAACATGCTGTGCCTGGTTGATTCTATCAAATCCAGGCAGGCAGGCAGGCAGGCAGACAGGGAATAGATACTAGATTTATGTTTTAAACCAAGTTAGTTACTTCTTACCAATGGTTATGTGGGTAATTCATATAGCTGCTGTAGAGCTGACTAATTGGGGAATGGCTATTATGCCACCAAATATACAGCATCTTCTCGTGGATGTGGAAATCCAAATGCTCAGCCAAACTCAAAGCTTTTGCCTGTTTGCTCTTTAATGACACAGACTAAATACTCAAGACATGCTTGAAAGACGACCCCATCAACATGGCCATTCCCTTCTCCTGGTAGCAAAAACCCATTAGAGGTTTGATTCTCAAAAGAAAATAGACCAGAAACTCGAAACTGTTCCTATTCGCCAGGTAGCTTTATCAAATTGAGTTTAATAACTTTCATACGAATGGCGGTTCCAGCTACGTTTGCGTACCTCGAGGACCCTTGAAACTCGTGATCATATTTTCTGGAACTGCTCCTTCAGCAGGGGCTGCTGGGCCTCAATTAATCTTTACCTTGCTCCTTCCTCTCAGCAAACCTCTCTCCAGAGAAGCCTTTCTTGTAGCAGCTTGGAACATTTGGAAACAAAGAAATGCTAGAATTTTTTCATAATATTCCTCCTAGTTTAGCCTCCTGGCCTTTTCTCATTAAAAGAGACCCTTTCCTTCTCTCTTACAGAATGAAGGATGAGCAGGCTTACCAGATTAGCAGTTCTTCTCCCCCTCCCCCTGTACAGCCCTCTCTTGTAAATATTACTACTCCCTCCGATCCATATTACTTGTCTCTGGTTTAGTACAAAGTTGGGTACTTGTTTTACTAAATTTGTACTGTCGAGCCTCCCCTATAATTTTCCGTTCAAAAAATATATATCATGTTCAGGGTTGGAAATTAGGTGTGTCGTGCTTAAGGAGAGTAAAACAGATGTATAACGTCCCGTGTTTACTTAGAAAGATAAACTCTGGAACATAGATACAATATTCTTACCAGACTAATCCATAAATTAGGTTTAGCCATGTAGGGGTGACCCCCTTCACGTCAAAGAATCCCCTGAGTAGCCATTCATGATGAAACCAAAGGAGGTCATGACATCAGCAGATAAGGTCTGGAAAGTCAACTATATTGTCAATTCAATACAACAGAGCTGAAAGATGAGTAGGATCAAATTAGAGATTTTATGTCAGACAGTAAATCAGATTCTCTACAATGAAAATTCAAGCAATAAATTGTCACATACTAGCCTCTTAGGTCTTGGGTCTAGATGCTTCGTGCAAATCAGTGGGATGAATCCAATACAACACTATAAGGCTCAGCTAAAGGGTAGATTAACATACCTACTGCATGTCAGCCATCAGGGGAAGGCCTAAGAGCACAACTAAACCAGCTAGTGTAAGCCATTCTAGCATAATAAAATTCAAGTCCCCTCGGTAGCTAACCTAAACAAACAGTTGATATTGAATCCTTTTTAAGGAAAAAGGTCAGAAAACATCAAAGGTTACTTAGCTACATATAAGACTAAATACATCACTATCTTTATTGTTCATGTTCGGAATACAGCTATTCTTGGTGACCTGATGTAGAAACAGATAATTCTGATTAGTGCACAGTTAGTACTTAGTGGTGTCAGATAGAAGGATGCAGGAAGGGAAACCTTAGAGCTTTTTTCGCTTATCATCCCAAGCAAACCATATGATTCTCATTATTCTATTTCTCTGACATGCCAACCAGCATTCCCGCTTATTCAAAGTGACACAGATCTCATCTTGTCCATTATTACCAAGGTATCTCATTCTACTGTAGATGATTTGCCTCTAATGAATTCAGAACAAGTCACAAACAAATTGAAGCATCCTTTGAGGTTATCTTCAAATATTACCCATAGTTATTTATACCACAGTCAAGTACATGTCAAAATTGATTCATGTCTTCATTATTTTCACCGATAGGAGCAGAACAGTTCTGTAAACTGGACCAGTTGATCTGTTCTGCGTTCTGCCTTCTGAGCCATGTGTGATTAGCACAAAGACAAGACTCAGAACTTTCTGGGAAAATGCAAACGATAAAGAATAAAGTAGCTCTACTGAAGTGTGGTATGAGTATTGCTTCATGAGTCACTAGTAACTTAGTAAGATCCACTAGACCGCAATATATTTTTAACTTATCAAAAAAGCAACTAACAAAACTTATCAGAAAAGTAACTAAGAACTTTTTTGCCCTTGTTTTGGCCCGCTGAGGCTGTGGCAACTACCCAACACCTCAAATTTCATCCAAGAAAAACAATGATCCAACACTTTTAAGAATCGTGATTAGCATGTTGACCATACTGCGCAGTAGGTTAATATAAGCAACAGTGCATGCACTGGAAAAGTAAAATCGGTAACCATTCCAGCCGTTATCAGAATGTGATGAAAAAGAAAAATAAGAAAGCACTGCGTACAGCATACTGTAAGTTTTCAGACAGAATTATTAGTTTATGACCAGCGAAAAGCTCAGTCAGAGGCTCTTCCAGGTAGATGTCTAGATTGGTGCTGAATCATCACTTCTATGCACCAGTCACCAGATGAACTTCAAAACAGTTTGTGCTCAAATAACATGAACAGATAGCTTCAAAGTTTTGTGGAAGCTTACAACGAATACTGATTACTGTGAATGCCTAGCTATAAATTAGACATCATACTACTATAAGCTCATCATTTGAAATAAATTAACATAAATTCACAGAGCTACCTGAATGAAATCAATTTGGTTCATTCAGGGAATAGGTTGGTCCATGCCATATTGATACTTCAACTGGGCATAATGATGTTTTACGCCTTAGAGGTTGGGTGGTTGACTAGGTTCTCTGGTTGCCACACACGGAGAAGGCGGTCATAAAATGAACAAGTAGCGATAACTGAAGAATTCGTGTTATATTCCGCTGCTTCACTTGTCTGCCAATCTGCACCATATGCTAAGGACTCATGCTTGCAATATGTTTCCATTATGGTAGCATCTCCAGCCCCTGCTTTAACAATGGCAAAACCGTTGTGCATGCATGCAGCCAATACGACATCTGCAATATTAGGATGATATTTCAACCTCCATACACCACCTCCTAAATTCAGGGACTTCTCGTTCACAGGTTTCATCATTGATCTCATGCAGTGGCGGAGCTAGCTCCCGGCGACCTGGGGCAGCTGCCCGGGCTGCTCCGGCCATTTTTCACTAAACAATGCAAAGAAACCATGATTTGCAGTACTAATTACTTGGGCAAATGCCGGGCAACATCGCCGTGTAAAGACTTTGCCCCGGCTCCTTCAGCTGGCTGGCTCCGCCACTGATCTCATGTCCCAAACTCTGAGAAATTCGTCATAGCTTCCAGTGAGTAGCATATTCCCCTCCAATGGGTTCTAAGCAATGCAACACACACCCATAGTATGAGTCTTCTTATTCCGAAACACAGCATTCGATGGGCTTTCCCGCAAATCCCAGCAACCGAAAGAGCAGTCGTCCGATCCACTGTACAACAAGTGTGGTCTTGCACGATCGAAATAACATGTCCAAACTTCATACTGATGAGCAGTCCATTGTTCTGATACCTCCAGGCGGTCCTCTCTCATGGGAACCACAGACAGTGAACCATCTGATAATGCAACGGCCAGGGAATCGGCATTTTGGTTCCAGTCCACATACAAGCACATTGATGAAGAAATGTTTCCAGCAACCACATCTGTTAGAACAACACCTGTGTAATTTGGTCATACAAAGCACTTGTATCAGCCCTCAGGATGTACATGTACTTTTAGACATGATCAAGATATTACATATATGAAGTGTTTATTATACTTTACAGCTACATCAGTTCCCGGCATCAGTATGGAATTCACTAGGCTAACTCTTTAATCGAACAACGATATTATGAAAAATATGAGCAATGCATTTCGAGAAGACTAGCAGACGAACCCAACTTTACTTTGATCATCAATCAGCAGCAATTTACCCTAGTTGTCAACAAGGTAATGGCAATCTTCCCAGAATATCGCAGCCTACAAACAGCTTGTTCTGAATCCAGAGTAAACTATGCCTTCCGTATGGACATTGGCAACCAAAAATGGTCATGCTAGTTCTAATGAAACGTAGCCTGCCAGCAGATGCTACCAGTTACACTTAACAGTTAACACATGGCCCTGTTTTAACATAACAACAGTTTTGTACCAAAATTTACTTGTGAGATAGTAACAGCAGTAGCAAGCAGCACCTTCGTCCGAGCCGTCTTCATGCTGGAGGCGCCGGAGCACGAGGCGTCCGTGGGCGTCGGCCTGCGCGAGCAGCGGCGCCGTGGGGCTCCACTTCATGTCGAAGACGCCGGCGGTCTCCACCGTGTTGAGCAGCCGGAGCCGTCGGGACTTGTCCTCCGCGCCGGCGTCCACGGAGAAGAGCGATACGGTGCCCGCGCGGTCCTGCTGCTGCTGCTCCTCTCCCGCCTGCTCCTGCAGCGTGTACGTGGCTGCCGCCAGGATGTGGCGGAAGGGGCGGTGCGGGCAGAACTCCACCGCGTCGGCGTTGCCGCCGAGGTGGCAGGACCCCACGTCCATTCCCAGACCCTCGCTTTCCCCCGGGATGCAGGCGGCGGCGGCGGCGGCGGCGAGGGTGGAGGGCTCCCAAATCGTTGAGCTTCAGAGGCAGGGGCAAAAGAGTCAATGGTCACCAGTCAAACCTAGTCATACTAACCTATCCTAATCATGTGGCGGGGGCGAGCAAACGGACACCGATGGGCACCTTAGCCGCGGCGATTCCCGTGACCGCCGGGGCGACGGCGCCGTCCAGGCACGCCGGCGGAAGACGACACCGCCCCCGCGGCTCCGTCGCCGTGCGCTGCTCGTCCGCGGCCGACGAGCGGCAGGCCCTCTTCAGCCGCATCGCCCCCGTCTACGACCATGTCCGTGCCTCCCACTCCCCTCCCCCTTTCCGCTGCATTGGCAAATACGTACTGTACTGACGACAGCGCTGCGGTGCCGCGTTCCTTGTAGCTCAACGACGTGCTCAGCCTGGGGCAGCACTGGACGTGGAAGCGCATCTGCGTCTCTTGGTCAATGTACATCCCCAGTGCTAGTCGCAGTAATGTGAATTCAGAAGACAACTGGTTGATGGGAAAATTTTGTTTTCTGAACATCAGGGCGAAGAGAGGGGATCGGGTTCTTGATCTCTGCTGCGGGAGCGGGGATTTGGCGTTCCTTCTGTCTCAGAAGGTCGGCCTAGACGGAGAGGTTGGTACTCTACTGAAATGTCGGATTGGCTTCAGGGTTCAGAACTTCAGAATATCCAAGCGATTTTTGGCTCTCAAATGTCACAGGTGATGGGTGTGGATTTCTCATGGCAGCAACTGCAAACTGCTGCTAGCCGTCAGGACCAACGCTGGAAGGCTTGCTACAAGAACATCAAGTGAGCACCCCCAATGTGAGAGCTTGGGAATTCTGAAGTTCCTGTCATGCGCAGTTTTTTGGAGCTTTTCTGAGGATATGCAGAACGTGTTTTTCTTTCGGGTCTAGATGTGCAATACTTAGGGCACATCTAGATGTGCTTTAGCAAAACTGTTTTCTTTTGATCAGCTTAACAACCTAGCTAAGACATGCTTTTTCGCAGATGGATCGAGGGCGATGCACTTGATTTACCTTTCACAGACCGTTACTTTGATGCTGTTACGGTTGGTTATGGATTGCGCAATGTGGTGGACAAACCCAAAGCAATGCGAGAGATCCTTAGAGTCCTAAAACCAGGTTGGGTGCACGGTTCAAGTTTCGTTCCAGTTCAGCGTGAATTCTCATGATTTGGTTTTCCTGGGCTGCAGGATCACGAGCATCTGTTCTAGATTTCAACAAGAGTTCGTCATTTTTCACGGCATCGTTACAGGTAAAATTTCAGCCCATCTTGGACGCATGATACAGATGAATTGGTTTGTTCAACTTCCCTAACAAAGACCAATCATCTACTCTTGTACCATGACATTCTAGCAAAGTCACATGTAGTCACATGTTTGGAACTGATCCTACAATCCTGACTAACTAAAGTGATATTTTTCTTTGACAGAGTTGGGCGATCAATAATGTCGTGGTTCCTCTGGCTAGTAGCTATGGACTTACTGAAGAGTACAAGTACTTGAAAAGTTCGATTGCACAGTATCTTACAGGTTTGAACTTGATGTTTCGTTCCTGTGAAAACTTCCATGACACAGAAAATATATCACGTCATCAAGTAAAACATATATAAGAACTAAACTAGAGTTACCCGCAAAAAAAAACTAGAGTGTACCTAGTAAAAGGAATAAAACAAGGAAGGTGCATCTCAAAACTTACATAGCCCACTCTGATAGCACAAGTACACCATCTATTTCCTTCACGCGCAAAGCTGTGGCATTATATAAATGTACATATCATTCTGCTTTTTTTAAGAAAATAGTGAATTATTTTGTTCCAAACGATGGAGTGGTATGTGCCATTTCACCGACGACCATGTACTGATTCACGATTTTATCACCTTCCTTTATTTACATCAAGCTTTTCTTTGTTCATCTGTTCTCCAGGAGAGGAGTTGGAGAAGTTAGCCAAAGAAGCGGGTTTTTCCTCCGCCAAGCACTATGAACTTGGTGGCGGGCTCATGGGGAACCTAGTAGCAACTCGCTGATTAGAATTGTAGCGACGAACGGGATCTGTATGAATTATCTGAATTTTAATTTAAATAATTAATTTTCCTCTGCATTACCGAATATGCAGTTTGGCTGATCCCATATGGAACCAATGCTTCAAACTTCCCAGCTGTGCATTTCTCCTGCTTGAACAAGAAAACTAACATACCTACGGCATGGAAACATTCAGGTCAGCATGAAATCACACCTACGGCATGGTAATCAAAACCACAGTTCTGAAATGCAGGCCGTTCAATCAAAGTCATGGTTCTGAAGTGCAGGCGCCACTGCGCATACCGGGTGTGCTGTTCTGCAACTTCTGAGCAATAAGACTATAAATCGGACATAAGAAACAAGCATCTCCTCGTCTTATTGGTGAAACTGGCAAGGCATGGGAATGATCAGTGAGAATTTCAGGCTCCGTACATTTTCCGGTGAAGCGCACTGCTCTATTCTGAATCCTGTATCCTCTGCCCTCCTCTGTTTATTCAGTCCCCATTTCGGCAGTTCAGATCTACACTGGAGTATTTATGTTCAGTGATTTTACCAATGACCATGGTGAAGCTTCTTCAGTTCAACTCGATGAACGACCCAGCAAAATATTCGCAGTAAAACATAAGTAACCCCCTACCAGGAGTCTAGCACCCAAAGGGTGATATGTATGAATTATCTGAATTTTAAGTTTGTTAATCCATTTTCCTCTGCATTCAAACTTCCCAGCTGTTCCGTTTCAAAAAATAAAAACTTCCCAGCTGTGCATTTCCCTGCTTGAACAAGAAAACAACACACCTACAGCATGTAAATCAAAACCACAGTTCTGAAGTACGTACAATCATGGTCACAGTTCTGAAGTGCAAGTGCAGGCGACACTGTGCATGCCGGGTGTGCTGTTCGGCAGCTTCTGAGTAATATGACCGGAAATCGGACATAAAAAACAAGCACCTCCTCGTCTGATTGGCAACTGGAACTGGGAAGGCGTGGAATGATCAGGTGAGAATTTCAGGCCCTGATTTTTTTTCTGGTGAAGTGCGCACTGCTCTGAATTCTGAATCATGTATCATCTGCCCTCCCCTGTTTATTCGGTCCCCATGTCGACAGTTCAGATCTACACTGGAGTATTTATGTTCAGTGTTTTTTTACCAGTGATTATGGTGAATTTTTTTTGAGGGGTACTATGGTGAAACTTGTTCGGTTAAACTCGATGAATGAACCAGCAAAGTAAAACATGAATAACTCCCTACTATCACCCAAATTCACAAGCTACTGACAAAACAAAAGGTTCACAAGCTACAACGAATTCTTGGATCAATCATTCCAGCATAAACCACTGTCTTGCAAGTTCCTAGCCACTAGCTCTGCTAAACAATCTGGAGTAGCAAACAGAAAATAAACAATCTTAATTAACACCCAAATTACCCCTTTTTGGGACTCACCGTGGCTTCATGGGCGCAAGCCAAAAGACATTGCCCCGCTCATTTACAAAGCGTCAAAGAGAAAGAATTGGAAAGTTCGGGAGCCCTCTCACACAATGCATGGATCCTCAAGATCAAACCGCCCACCATCATCTCCGCTGAGCTCATCACGCGGTTCTTCACTCTTTGGGCGCTTTTGCATGAGGTCCAACTTGATGATCTCACCGAGGATGACATTGTCTGGAAGCATACGGCTAGTGGAATCTACTCGGCGGCATCCGCATACAAGGCACAATTCTTAGGGATGGTTCTTACACCCTTGGACAAAATGGTTTGGAAGGCTTGGCCCCCCCAAAAGTCAAGTTCTTCGCTTGGTTGGCGCTACAAGACAGAATTTGGACTGCCGATCGTTTGGCAAAACGTGGGTGGCCCAACTGTGGTCTTTGCCCTCTCTGCATGAGAGTGCAGGAATGTGGGCCTCACCTCTTCTACGAATGCCGCTACACACGAAGGCTTTGGTCTTTGATCATTGACAAATACCATATTCTCGGTCTTCACACCAACGGTTGGCCCCTGTTCGACTCAGTTGAGGCTTGGTGGGCAAGTACCTGCGACAACGCCACTCCAAACCGCCAAGCTAAGGCGTCCCTCACCATGCTTGTTTCGTGGACTGTCTGAAATGAGCGAAACGCAAGGGTCTTCAAGCACAAGAGCGCTCCTCCAACTATTTTGCTTGCCTCCATAGAGACCGAGGCCAACTTTTGGGTCATCGACGGTGCCAAAAAATTAGGGTCCATTATTTCGCGAGAGTGATGTCATGCCGTATATTGAGTGACTTGTAACAAACTCTATTCTCTCTTATTTAATGGATAAGGCAAAGCTTTTGCCCCCGTTTCAAATTACCCTCAAGTCTCGACTAAACCAAGGAATGACCCATCAAAAACTTGACCACCAGCTCCAGGTACATACGGAGACACCAATAGCAAATTAAGCACCATATATATGTAGCTATATATGTAGGTCGGCACACACACAGATGAACTAGTCCTACTGGCTTGCTAGCTACGTATGTAGAGGTAGACGTAGTGGCTAGCTAGTTCCTGGCATTGTCCATGGCGAGGATGGTGCTGAGGTTCATGCACTACCAGAAAAACTTGGGTTGCCGACGGCCCCCGTCGGCATAGATGGACCTATGCCGACGGCCAAGGACAGGCCGTCGGCGTAGAAAAGCCGTCGGCATAAATCCATATATGCCGACGGGGCCGTCGGGACCGCTCGAGATACGCCTATGGGGCCCTTCGGCATAGGAATGGCCGTCGGCATAGCCCGGGCCCACCTACCAGGTCAGCGCTGACCGTTTGATGGCGTTGAGTCTACGCCGACGGGTGGTAACGGCGGCCGTCGGCATATCTATGCCAGAGATATGCCGAGGGCATAGCCGTCGGCATAGACCTGGCCCATGCCCCTCTGCCACGTCATCGATCCGTGTGCGCAGCTATGCCGACGGCAGTGCCGTCGGCATATGTTTATTTAGTTTTATTTTTAATTTTGCTTTATACTACCTATGGCAAAGGTATGCCTACGGCATAGCCGTCGGCATAGGCCCCTCTGCCACGTCATCGATCCGTGTGCCATGCCACGTCATCGATCCGTGGGACTGCACCTCCGTGTGTGCACAGATATGCCGACGGCCTTGCCGTCGGCATACTTTTATTTTACTTTATTTTTATTTTTTATTTTTTACTTTATTTTCATATTTTAACTTTATTTTAGTTTTTGTTTTTGCATAAGATAATTATGCCTTATCTAAAAAAACATACCCTGATGGTATATCGATTGCCCCCCGTTACGAAGGTCGCTATCGCCGTGTCACGGAGGGGGGGGGGCGGTCGACACGGAGGGAATTCTGGTTGGTGGGGGGATTCGAGGTGTAGCTATGTCACCGAAACATCGCACGGGTCCCGATGCATATGTGAAAGTGTTCGGGCATGCGTAGACGCCCGTCTTGGGGCTCCGAGGTGTGCCCCCCTGCACGCAAGGCAGTGCCGTCGTCACTTGGAGGGGGCCAAACCCCGGAGACGCGTGCCGCCTCTTCGGACATGCCACCACACCACCCCGCATGTATGAGGTCCCAGTGCGACTCTCGGGTGGCATTGCTACCCCCCCTAGGGCCCCCGTCCCTCCTAACCCTGTAGCGTTTGACCACGGGATCTAGCCCTTTGACTTTGCACGGACAAGCTTTGAGAAGTGGACCTATCCATCCGGTTGTGTTAGGTCAGCCCATAGGAACACTTTGGAGCAACATCCGGGCCAGACCCACG